CCCTTTTTTTTTTAAATCACTTCTCTGGCCTCTGGTTTCCTCTCTGCTGTCTGTCTGGCATGACTAACGTGGAGGGTGCTGTCTCCGGGCCAAGCCCACCTCTACTAACTGAGTGAGACTTAACACCGGTACGCGGATGGACCGGCCCGGACGCCCAGTTGGGGATGCGTAGGAGAGGCAGGAAGGCCATGACCTCCCACTGCCCAGGAGGCGGTGGCAGGCACCCCAATGGGACTTAAAACCTCACCGAAGACACCAAAAGAGGGGCAGGATCAGGGCTGGAGCCCTAAGACGGGCCCTTGACACGGCGGCCTCATCCCCCACGTGGACACGGTTTGCCTCCTCGCACGCCATGGGATTGGGGTGCTTAGAGTGACTTTTGGGGGGAGGGTGGTGGGATCAAAGGGGTCTCATTTGTATTCTGAATCACCAATTATATTCCCGCTGGTTATTTGGACGAATGTGAAGGAGAGAAGTTTTTCCAGTTCAAAATGCCTTACACAGTCAAAAGGAGAAAAAAAAAACCACGCGATTTCAGGTTTCCTTTGTCTGATTACTCTTAGCACCCGCCCTCTCCCCTGTCCTAGCAAGGCGTCAGTTAAGCGGCAAGAATGCTGAGTGACAGAGTGACACAGCACAGTCCCCAAGCGCCCAGCCCCGCCGTCAACCACCCCCCTCCCCCGAACCCATTTTGTAAATCGCTAAAGTGGGCTCCCTTTCTGATATTTTAGACACATAAATGTACACGTACCCACGTCTTCTCTGTATTTTAACCTGGGAGGCTGTCGTCCTGGCCTGGGGCTGCCCACGATGCGGGGGCGACATTACAGCCCCCAGACTTTTGAAAGCTGGCAGACGGCCACCCCTGCTCCCCGGAATCATCAATCGGCTGGCGCCGGGGACTGAGGAGCGTTTCCACCTGGAGGCACTTCCTGTGTGAAACCCCATTTAAAAGAGGAAGGCCTGAAGATAGCGGGGAGATGAGACGGGGACGGGGAGTGCCTGCCGCAAATGCAGAAATCACAGACATCTGAGCGCTGACCATCTGTGAATCCGTACACGTGGATTTGGTTTTTTGTTTTTTTGGTTTTTTTTTACGTGATCACCACGAAGCTCCTTTTTTAGCTTGTGCTTGGGGAGGGGCGGGGGTAAGGGTTATTAAGCCCAATCAGGATAGGGAGGAAATTCCTCTAGCCTATGTGATTTTCCATGAACAGTAAGTGGAGCGTGCTGCCTCTCTTCGATTCTGTCCGTGCTTCCACATGGAAACAAAAATGCAATAAAATTTTTCCAAAACCTGTTCTCCTTGAGCCGTGCTCTCTCACCTTGTTCCCTTCCGGGAGAGCCCTGGCGGGGCCTTCATTCCATTGCTCTTAAAGGATCTTTATCTCTGCTGCTCTTGAGTGAGGTTTCGGCCGTGTTGTTTTTAAAGGACGCTAGGCACTCCGCTCTTGACCAAGCCTGTCCCTGGGCCTTAGCTCTGGCTTTCGGCAGCCTGAATCCCTCATATGCTCCTGGGCTACAGAAGTCTTCAAGTCTGCAGACTTTGCTTAGTCCCACGCGTGGGGAAGAGGCGCGTCGGCCGCTGCCCACCCAGCAGAAAGCAGAGTCGGGCCAGGGGAAGTCGCTGAAAACCTCCATGGACAGTGCCAGTGCTTCGAGGAGTTCCTCATCCCCCATCCCACGTGAGCCGCGACCCTTCCCCAAGCCAGTCAACTCTGCCTTGACTCTCCTATGCACTTGATGTTTGCTAGAAGTCAGGGCTGAGATCTGAAGCGGGTTGGGTTTTTATTTTAAGCAGTTTAAAAAAAAATTTTTTTTTTTAATATTTATTTGAGAGAGAGAGAGAGGAGCATGAGTAGGGGAGGGGCAGAGCGCGACAGACACGGAATCCGGAGCAGGCTCCAGACTCTGAGCTGTCAGCACAGAGCCTGACGTGGAGCCCAAACCCACGGGCTGGGAGATCGTGACCTGAGCCGAAGTAGGATGCTTAACCGACTGAACCACCCAGGCGCCCCTGAAGTGGTTTTTTTTTATGCTCTGTTTAAATCTCATTTATAGCATTTGTTTCCTACAGGCTTTTTTCCCTTCCTTCCTTCCTTCCTAACAGTTCCCTGAAGTGTGTGAAGAAGTGTCTCTGACCTGCTCCCTCCCCTCAGGGATCCATCCCGTGGGAGGCATTGCTGCCTTTCTGGTCCTCCCTGCTGGGGGTATATTTTTTAAGTATTTGGTTGCCCTCCTAACACTCCGTCTTCAAGGCTTTTTTTCTTTTTTAAGTGACCCAGGTTGGTTCTTTTCCCCATGGAATTTCTAAGGAATGCAGCAGATAGTGCTGAAAATGTATTGATTTTTTTTTTGAGTCCTAAAAATAGAAATTCATCCTTTAAAC